CAGGTCCCAATGGTCAACAGCCACCTGCTCTTCCACTAGGCCACTTATGCGTGTTTGTTAATAAAATAGACAATGAAAATAATATGTAAGAACAATGCATATGCTGGAAAATAACAAAAAAAAACGCGCGTTATGTTTGAATGCTCCAATGGCACGCTTCCACGTCCTTCGTCTTCATCCTGCGTTCCTGTAAAACATAAACAAATAGCGGGGGTTTTTAACCCTCCACAACCTGCAAACGTCAAAAATAGCGAACATCTCCATGATTAACATAAATTGTTCGCGAGGGTTGGGATTGGTTCGTCTTGATCTCCTGAGTTTAACCATGGGCATCATTAGTCCTAATTTTACTTGTATGGGAAAGCCCCAAATCCAGAACTCGGAGACCCTAGATTTCATTCATGGTGATTTCTGTTTCACTGCATAATAATTCAATTAAGTAATACCAACAACTTTATAGGGATGCAAGCAATACAAAACAAACCATAAATATCATCAAATGCTCATGAATCGTGCATTTTGATTCTGGAAGAAAAAAAAGACAAACCGTGGGACTGTGGTGGACGATTCCTTGAGTTCTGGCGCTTGGCTTCGCTTGCAAAAGGTTCCTCAGTGTCCCAACAAGGTGTTTGGATCCTTAAGTTGCCTTGCCTTGTCTGCAGCAGCTTTTACACGTGAATGGCTTTAGGTTTAGGTTATGCATATGTATGGGAATAGAATTAGGTGATATGATGAGCCTTAAACTTGTGCAATTAAGTTTTGGATTCTTGTTTGACCACCATTAAAGGACATTCTAAACTTGGTTCAAATTTTGAATTTTATGCATAAATAAGCTTGGCACGATTTTGGCAGCTAGCATATGACACATAAAAGTCATTCAAATCAAAAGATGTTATTTAATTATTTTTTTTATATTTTATTTGAATTTTATGGATTTAAAATGAATTAAATCAATAAAAATTAAATAAAATAGAAAAATTAATGTTTAATCTTGAAATTGATCATGGGACACGTGTATGGCATGACAAGGCTGAATCAAGTGGAAGAAAGTGGGCCCTTTTGTCAAAAATTGAAGTTTTAAGGATAGTTGACTTTTGCCATTTCACAAAAATTTCCCAACTTCTCCAATGCATATCTTGCTCAATTTTGATCATATGAACATGTTCTTGGACATTTTGGAAAGGTATTGAAGTCCTCTAACCAATGCCTTTGGTCCCGTGTCATTTTGATTTACCAATCTCAAGTTATGGTCTTTGACTTAAAATGCCTTTTTGTTGACTTTTGAAATTGACCTATAATGTTGAAATTGATAACTTTTTGTGAGAGAATTTATTGGACTTGGAATGTGAAGATGAGTTGTAGGAAATGTAATCCCCTTCAAAATGAGCATTGGATGGGATTTTTCTGATGAACCATGAAAAAGTTATGCCCTGGTCAAGTTACAATTGACTTTTCAACTGTCCTAAAATAGAAACTTTTGCATCTTGATGATTTTTGAGCCATTCTTGTGGAATCATGATCAAGACTTGATAAAATGATGATTGTGGCTTCAAAATAAGATGTTGACCAAAAATTCTGACTTTTGACTACCAAATGACCATTTTACCCCTACAGTTGATTGTGAAGCAATTAGGGCTTTTGACTGTGCAACTTGATGCTGTGAGCCTTGAAACTTGGCATCTAGATGCTTGACAATGTATATAGGCATATGGGACTTGATTGGACCCTTGAAAACCTCAACTTCCTTGCAAGAAACAAAACCCTAATTTTGACTGGCTTAGGAGGCATGTTTGACTATGCAACTCCTTGAGTAGACTTGAGCAAATTGAGATGATGCTTGTCAAAACTTTGAAGAATATGGGAGGGCAAATTTTGGGGTACAACAGTGTAGTCCACTACAAATTTCACAAGCTACCTTCTATACTTGTTGAACCTGAGCTACCTGTTGAGTACCCATGTTCATTGCTTTCAGCTTTTTCTCTACTTCTACAGCAATTACTTATTCAATTTTCAGCTGCTTATTAATTTCCAACTTCAAATCAATCACTCCCTCTGGTTTGCTTACAACTCTGTCATATAGCTTCAGATGCTCATTTGCAGCAATGAGTTCAATAATCTTCTTCACACTAGTGGTTGTTGTAAAGTTGGATGAGCCACCAACTGCTGTATCAATAAGCTGTTTTGTCTTCATTCGAAGGTCATTCACAAACATTTGCATTTGCTCTATTTGACCCATGTTGTGAGTGGGACAAGCTACTAATAACCTCTAGAACCTCTTATAAGCATCACCTAGCGACTCTCCTTCCTTCTGCTTAAAATTCACAATATCATATATTTTGCGAATATAAACAGAAGCAGGAAAGTACTCATCAAGGAAAGTCTTCTCCATCTGTTCCCAAGTGGTGATACTTCCAACAGACAATGAGTAAAACCACTCTTCAGCATCTTCAGACAGTGTGAATGGGAACATCCTTAATTTTTTGGCTTCTTCAGAGTGCCCCTCAATCTTCATAGTAGTACTCATGGTGAGGAATCTCTGCAAATGCTTATTGGCATATTCATTGATCTTTATGGTGAAAGATCTATTCTCGAGCTGGCGGATGGTTGAAGGATGTAGTTGATAATTTGCAACATTGACTGGTTCATTCACAATAGTCAACTGACCTGCGAGAGCATTTGCTCCTCCGTAATCCCTAAGAAGTCTCTCTGGTGGTGGTGGGTCTTCAGCCATTATTTTTTTCTTTTCAGACTCTGAACCTGAATGATATGATGAACCTTCTGATTCATGTCTAACTAATCGAGCTTGTCTGCGCCTTACGCGAAAAGTTCTTTCGATTTCTGCGTCAAAAGGAAATTCAGCTGAGGGTTTTCCTTGAATGCAAAGGTTAGAAAAAAAATCAAGAATAACAAAAATATAAAAATTAAATAAAAGAAATTTTAATTGCAAAGCAACAAAATTTTAACTGAACACAAACTACACTATATAACTAGGCAGTCTCCGGCAACAACGCCAAACACTAGGTGGGAAAAATAACAAGTGTACTATTTTTTCCTTTGTAATAATAGGGAAATTTCTCGAATATCGATTTTAAGGACTGCATATCAGTATTGAGTTCAATTTGTGGTTCAATTAAACAAAAACTTAATTGGGATTTTGGTTTAGGAATTGTCACTTAACAGAAATTAAAAATATATAGAATGTAAATTATGGCTTTTTCACAGAAATGAGGAGCATGCTAGGGTATGGTGTATAATCTGCCCTGTAACAACCTTGAATCCTGATCTCTTCAACAAGTTCATATCCTTCAATTACCGACCCTTTAAATTATCTTCCCCTAAGTCCTTAGTGGGAAAACCTTTAACCACCCATCCTACACCCTAAGTCTTTAGAGGTATCTGATAGAGTCAAGCCTTTATTTTATCAAGGGTTAAATCCGGTGACTATAGGGTATCCCTAGTCCTAGGTGATATCTACTATAGCCTAATTATACAAAAACCTTAACGACTGTGGTCCAGATGGTTGTTAACCGTAAATCAATCCTAATTTGTCCAATCAGGAAGGCATAAAAACATTGTACAATTAAATCAAATAGAGAAGACTATTGTATAAATGAAATTCAGGAATTAAAATTGTTTACAGAGTCAAATCAGGGACACTCCCTAGCATTAAGGGGTTTATCCATTCATATTGTTTAAAATAATCACAAGATAAAGATTAGACATTACAAGTAACTGGATAGCTTCGAATCTTCAATTGCTTCCGCTCATGAGAATCTTCCACTCTCCAAGAACCTTGATCTCTCCAATCTTCATTCGTGTAATTTATTCTTTGCTGCCCAAAAAGTCCCTCTTTATTCTTTGTGAAAACTCATTTTAAAGAGTCACATTCATCCAGGTCGGTTGGAAGTACTCAAAACACCCTCATAGCTCAACATATGGAAAAAGTATAAAAAAATCAGGAAATCAGTGTCATAGGCCGACACGGGCCGTGTCACCTGACACGGGCACTCATGTCGTTCTCTGTCCATCGTACCAACAACTCTCTCGCCCAGACCTTCTAACACGGGCCTTGTCAGCTGACACGGGCACCCGTGTCAGCCTCTGCCTCTTCTCCCAAACCTGCCTTCTGAGCATCCTCTCCTGACACGGGTGGCCGTGTAAGGTACCATGTAGCTTGATTTTTGAGACTTCTTTTGAAATTTTGAATTCTGCACTTTTCGCACTGTGTTTCCTGGTTTTATTCCTCTGAGCGTGAAAACAATAAAATACACAGCCAACGCATAAAACATAGAAGAAATGACTAAAACACTTGACAAAATAACGAAACTATAACTAAAATCAACTGTAAATAAAGGTGGAAAAACCACTGATCAATTGCCCCCACTTATAAAACATGTTTAGGCCATATATTGTCCGATGTGAGACTCTTAACACCCCCTCTCACGCCCAAGAATTGCGTCTGGAGCGTGGAACAAAATGGTGGGTGGCCCAATGAATCTTAGATGAGGCTCTGATACCATATTTAGAATTGAATAATATATTTCAAGTATCTTAGTTTACAAGCACTAATATTTTTATATAAGACTATTCTAATCGAATGGACCTAACTAATGGACTAAAAGCCCGAATATAAGTTACTACTAATAATATTAAAAATAACTTATTTACAACACTTATTAATATGTTCTTTTTGGATAGTACTAATGATTTTTTCGTTATATTCTTCTTGGCGCGGAAAAGATGTAACTGCCCCCCTTGTTTTGATCATTTCTAGAAATTAAATCTTTATTATTATTTTTAGTTATGTTTCTATATTGTGCATTTATATATATATATATATATATATATATATATATATATATATATATATATATATATATATATATATATATATATATATATATATATATATATATATATATATATTATTTAAATTTAGTTTTTTATTTATTATATGAGTTTAATAACATATTCCTTTTTGTTGTAACAAATACTTGTGTATGGATATCTTTTTTTGTTCACATGGTTGTCTATTAGGCTTACCAAATACTCGCGGTATTGACGAAGGTGAGTTTATATTGATGAAGGTGAGTTTCTGAGAAATGCTGCTATCAGCGAACTAAGAGAAGAAATATGAGTTAGTTCAGCAGAATTGATTGCAAAGGTATAAATTTCAAGTTTCTTTACTTGTTTTGTAGACTTGAGTTCCTAAATATTGCATATCCATACTAGGACTGTGTGGTAAAGTGCCTCCCTTTAATTGTAATTGGAAAGGCATGGAATAAAGGATATTTTGTTTGACTGTGCCGAACAGTTATTCTTTGATGAGGATTAAATGGTAACCGAGCCCGTCCTTTGTTTTTTAGCCAATTTCTCTTCATTTTTCGTTTTGTTGTTGGTGTCTATGTTAGTTCCTGGTGCTATAATCCTTGTTTAATTAAATGCTATTTGATTTTTTTTTATTTCCTCAGGATAAACTTTGGATAAATAGGGAGAATCTTCGGTTTCAACTTTCCGAGGTCATGGCAGCGGTGTCAAGAAATACCTCATTACAGACCGAGGAAGTTAACGCTAAAATGCTTTCTTCAAGAATTGACAATCCTGTCAGTAAGTTTAGTGGTTTCTGTCAAGGTTTAGGAAGGAGTGAACAAATACAAAATCAAGATGTATCCTTTGAGAAAAGTTTCAAGTTACCATAGACTGAAAAGATACCTCCATATACATTTTGGTTACATTTATCCAGACGAGTCTTATTTTCACATTTTAAAGATCTAGAAATCCTATAATGTGCATTTTAAAAAATTGAAAACACATGTTTATTCTTCAACTCTATTCCGCTTTAAAATATATATTTAATGCCATCATTCATGTGTTATTTTCATTGTGTATTTATTGCTTTATTAAAATATTTTGCACAACATAGGAATGAGAGAATGACCAAAGATCAATCATTTGCGGCTAGAAGAAACATATACTATCAACATGGTGGTGAGACATCGATATGTAGTGACACCGAAGAAGAGTGAAAAGAGAATAAAGAAGCTAAACATGATTTTTCTCAGGGTGAAGACCAAATTCTATGGTAAATCAAAACGGAGATGTATTATTATACTTACATTTAGAAGTTTTATTTATATGTGAATAAGTATAAAATAACCATAAGAGCTAGAGATCCTAGTTGCAGTATTTGATGTTATAAGTGATATGAATCTTTAATTTCCTGTTGGAATTTCCGCCTTGGTCCGCCCGTAGTCTCCTTAATTGCGGCACTTTGACTTTCCTTCATTGCAGCTCCTAACACCTTCATTGTGTTGGCTTTTAAGGGATTGATTTACTCCCACATTACTTAGAGATATGGCCCGTGTTGTGTTTATAAGTGGGGGCAATCCTCATCTTACAAGTCGGTTTTTAAGCCGGTTTTGTAGGGATGAGTTCAGCCCAACCTATACATTATGAGATTTCCATATTGAAATTTGTAATGATATAAATGCCTTGTTGGTTCTCCAATGTTTTTTCTTGGAGCTGTAGTTGAATAAGTCCTTTATCATTTTGCCACACAACAAAATGTTAAACTTAACACCATATATAAACTCATTGTGCATCACTTTTCCACTTAATTTTTAAGTTTCTCATTTACTAAAACTACTATTTGTCTATTGAATATATTAGGATGGAATTTGAGGAACAAGAATTTACTGAGGAGGCCTTGAGTGTTGTTCAGAGCTGTATTGCTGGATTGTGATCCTTCTACTTCTACTGGGGATGGTGAACGGAGATGACTATGCTTTGGATTTACTCCTGTTTGCGAATAGTCTGTCGGGGAGAGACTCTATTTGAGAATAACTCTGCGGGAGCATAACTCTGTTGGAGGATGAACTTCCATAGCTGAAGGGATGAACTCTGTCGGGGATTGAACTTCTGTATTTAGAGAAATAAACTCTGCTCGGGAGAAAACTATATGAACCGCTTGCGATTACAAAATTTGGTTGAGGAACATATATGTCGGTTCTCTGAAGGAACTTGGCTAGGGAAAGTAACTCCTATTTGGGGAAGCCGATGTCAAAGCTTTGGTTGCCCCTACAGTATGGGGAGGCCTAGACGTCACGGGGTCGCATTCTGAGGAAATGACAATGACTTCGCATCAGGACTTTTCTACCCCTGTACCTACTGGAGAAAGTACCTACGGAGGCTTTGTAGATTGAGTGTTATCCCAACTCATGAGGTGCTTGGTAACTGTCGATTAGAATGATAAGTCTTCTACTGATAGGCAAGTGACAAGATGACGGGACATAGTCGTACGCTTTGATCCCTAACTTTTGCCTGGACCACCCTTTCGGGTTTCCAGTCCACTGGGATACCCCTTTTTTGCCCAAGCCGCCTTTTCAGGTTTTCGACTTGTCGGGTGTAAATATTTTTTTTGTTTTTATCCCTAATTTTTGCCCGAACTTTTTTGGTTCGCTGGGATGCCCTTATTTTTGCCTAGGCCAGTCGACCTAGAGGGTCTTTTTCATGCATGGTCTTTTCCGACTATGTCCACGTTCTCAGGATGTAGGGTGTTGTCACTGTCCATAGTGTTGTGTTGTAGTATTGTCAATATGTTTTCTTGATGGCACATGATTCATTGCTGGATTGCATGCATAATGCCCTAAGTGATTCAGATGGAGATCTGCCCCTAGTTATTTGGCACTTATGGAGAGACTGCCCCAGCTGTGTTAGACATCATGTCATGCCCCTTGCTTATGGAAGACTTATTGTTGGAAGTGTCTTTCCTGCTGAGGTGATTCTATCCATTGAGAGGATGTCTGTTCATTGAATATCCATTGTGCGGATTTCTCTGCTGTCAAACAACTAGTCATATGCAAACAATGTCATTTAAAGAATGCAAACTCATGTCTTTCTTGAAATTTTTTTGAAAATGTGTTTTACATAGTAAAACAAAATTTGCAAGAATGTGATATCAACTCAAGATTCGTAACAAGTCCTAAAGGAGTCAGGATACCTTTGTAACAGTATGCTCTCAAACTAACCCATGCTTCAGCTAGGACTTTTAAGGGTTATAACGTAGCCTGGTTCACGGTTTAAGAAACAAAGGATAAAGGCTCAAAATTTATTTGTACCCACCCGTTCTTCGTGATGTCCTTCAGTCCTATGCTTAGCTAATTGCACATTTAGAATCCCAATTGGGTCCTGAAGTACTGTCCTTGATGTTCCGGTAATGGTTCGGATACTGAAAGTTTATTTTGCATAGGCAATCATTTTTGTAATCTTTGTTGTTGAGGATTTGTAGGACCTCTTTCTTTTTGATTTTATTATCCCTGTCTTTTGCCTGAACTGTTTCTTTTTGTGATTTCAGTCAGCGGGATGCCCTAGTTTTTTTATTAAGTCTCCTTAGGTTTTGACTTAGCGGGCTTTTATTTTGAGAGATAATGACTGCCTGTCTTGATGATTATGCAGAACCATCACCGTCTTTTGATTTGAAAGGACTTCTTCGATGCCATTCACTATGTACGAAGCAGAAGATTGCGACTGTATGCACGTCTGAATTAACTGAGAAAACTACCCTGCCCCAGGTTTTGTTTAAAGGTTTTAATTTTGTGAAAAAGAAAAACTTCTACTTCTTTGGCTCGAAGGGGTTGACTAGGGATTATCTTCCTTATAACTCCAGTGTTTAGGATTTGAAAAAAACGCATGTACATCGTCAGCAAGGTCTGTTTAAAAGCATACTGTATGAGATTATGGCATTGTTTTTGTCATCCTCCCTCTAAAGGCTTACAGTTTTTTAGTCGAGAGTTGAATATCACGAAAAGGAAATATAAAGAAATTTAAGCATAATGAAAACAAATAGATTCAAGACAGACATGTGTAATTCATTAATGAAATAATAAAGTTTGACATGACAATAATTGTTCGAATAAGCAAAGAAAATACAACTTCAGAATTCAAATGAACAAAAATGCTTTCAATCCTAGCCATGTTTTAGCAAGGGAGCAGTGATCACGTTGGGAGTCTAAGGAGGGTCGAATTCGATCTCCTTGGCATCAATCATATTCTGAATTTTGTATTTCAGCGCCCAACAATCGTTAGTATCGTGCCCTGGGCTACCAGAATGATAAGCACACCTTGCACCCGAATTGTAGTTAGGAGAGGAAGTCTTAGGGTTCGAATGAGGGTTTATCACCGTAATCAGATTCATCTTCAACATATGTTGCAATGCTTGTGACAATGGCATGTTGATTTGGGTGAACTGCCTTTGAGGTCCTTCCACCCTTGGCTGATTTTTTCGTTGTTGTGGTCGTTGTGCGCGTGCCGAACTAGAGATCAACACTGCCCCCACAGATTGGTGGTAGTTTTCCTTTCTACGCCCCTTCTGGCCGTGCACAACATTAGCTTCCCTGTTGCCACCAAATGACTTTTTCTCTTTACTCGAAGAGGTATTTTTCTGGATCTTGCTACTCCGGATCCCAGCTTCTACTCTTTCTCCAGTCAGAATCAGCTCAGTGAAACCTGCTGACGAGCTACCGATCAAATGATTAAAGAATGGACCAGATAGCGTACCCAGAAACATATCAACCAACTCCCTATCAGACAACGGGGGTTGGACTCTTCCAGCCAAGTCTCTCCACTTCTGGGCATAGTCTTTAAAGCCTTCACTTTCCCCCATGGACATACTCTGGAGTTGAGTACGAGTAGGAGCAAGGTCGGCGTTGTATTGATACTGCTTATAGAAAGCAGCAGCCAGATCTTCCCAATTTCGGACATTGGCTCTCTCCAGCTGGTAGAACCATTCAAGCTGAGTCCCTGACATATTATCTTGAAACAAATGAACCCACATATTTCTATCAGCGGTGTGGGGCTGGATTTTCCTGACGTAGGAACAGAGATGGAGCTTTGGTCAGGACACCCCATCATACTTGGAAAAAACTAGAGCTTTGAACTTCTACAGGATGACCACTCCCGACACCAAACCCAATTCTTCAAAATCCAATCTAGGTATCCTCTAAACTTCCATGGTACTCAGACAATCTTCCAACTGTTTGTATCTATCCTCAGCAGGAGGATATTGCTCATCATTGTCATCAGTATCATTGTCAGACACTACAGGACTGAGGTCTTTCTCTCCTTCTTGATTCTCCCCTTCCTTAGATGAAGAGGCCAGGTCGACTTGTCGCTTCAACTGCTCTCAAAACCTTCGGCCCATGTTCAGAATACCAGTAGCCTTCTTCTTTTTCTTCTTCTCTTTCAGGATGAGGGCTTTCAGATCCTCCTTCCCCTTTTCCAGACTGATGAACATTTGTTGGAATTGGGTGTTCTGTGCCTGCAGGTCCTTAATGCTTTGTTCGGAAGACATTTCTGCTTAAATAAACAACAAAGAAGATGAGAAACCTGTAATGGTACCTGTAATGATGTGTATGATATGCATGCAATGTTTTCAAGGATCTCGTGGGGTAAACAAGAAACTATTAGAATTTGATTGCAGCTTGATTGAAGAAACTTCATGTTGTTGAGAGTCCTTCTTCAAGAGTCAAGCTCACCATATCGAGTGGGTCATAGCCCTTGACTCAAGTTTGTTGTACTTGATCTTTGACGATGTTTGGTCAGAGGAAAATAAATCCTCTTATCCCTTGGTAGACGTCTAGTTCAACGTGACCCTGCATCAAAGGCCCTTGAGATCCTTGAAATTCTATGGTTCAATGTTATT